GTGTGTTGGAGCGGGGCGGGGGGGAGTTGTAGTTCATGTTTGAAGGCCACCCACCTAACCTCCCTCCCCACACTTTCCGCTTAGTAAATACAGGATATCCTGTCCAGGGCAAGAACCTGATGTAAGAGGCTGGATTCTGTGGGGAGAGCCCTCCCTCCCTCCTGATGTCTGGACTGGGGAGAGGTTCATGGCTCTGCCCTGTGATGGGCGAGGGGTGGGTATTAGCCTGGATAAGTGAGCCTTGTCCTGAGTCAGATCATGACGGGTCCGGACTGGTCACGACCCAGGCTGACCACACTGCACTTTCCAGCACTCATGGGCCATTTCCGAGTCTACTGGTCCTGAGGTCCTAGGGTGGGATGTTTCCATTCCCCAGACCTCATCTCAGGCCAGTGCTTGCAAGGAAAGATCCCAACCTGCATCCTCTTTGTCAATGGAGTGTGGGGACATGAAAAAGGGTGTGTGTGGGAGTCCCATCCCCTCTTCCCATGCATCCCAAGTCTCCTTAATATACAGAATTCCCATCATTCCTGGCAGAGACAAAGACAGACTCGGATTGTCCTGGAATAGCACTCACACTTCCCTCTCCATGGGCTTCAGAGAGTGAGGAGAGGCCTTCCTTTCTCCTGAGATTGCCACCTTTCCTCTGCTCTCCTCTTGACTCCAGATGCTAAGCTGGAGGGAAAGATTCTGCTTTCTTTGCCCCCTTTCCCTCCTGTAATGAGGCTCTTGTGCAGGTGGCTGAGAGAGAGGGGGAAAAATGCTTCTTCCTGGTGGATAGGGTTGTGTAGCTGTCCTTGCCCATCACCTCTCCCCCTGACTCTGGGTGAAGGTGTTTTCTGGGCCCCCAGTACTGGCTCAGGAGGTGATTGCACCCAGCCCTAGCCGCTCAGAGATCTTTAGTGGCACTTTATCATTCTTATTATTTAATACTACGAACTGCTTCCAGACACCGGGCTAAAAATTACCAAATGATTTTTTTGCCACTTACTCATCATAACTACCCTATTTTACAGACAGGAAAACTGGGGCTCAAAAAGGTTAAATAGTTCTTATTTGCCCAAGGTCACACTGTTCAGTAAACAGCAGAGCCCATCTTTCTTTAACCAAAACAGTTTGATCTCTTTAACAATACTTCATGCTGCCCTAACTGTAAGCTTGTGGCATTCAGGGATCTTACACAATAGTGAAGTATAAGATCTGTAAAGTAGAGATAAGGACAGTCTCTACCTCAAAGAGCGGGTAAGGATTAATTGAGCGTTTATATATAATAGACTTATAGCACTTAGGGGCACCTGGGTGGCTCAGTCCATTAAGTGTCCAAGTTTGGCTCAGGTCATGATCTCACGGTTCACGAGTTCGAGCCTCACATCAGGCTCTGTGCTGACAGCTCAGAGCCTGGAGCCTGCTTCATATTTTATGTCTCCCTCTCTCAGTGCCCCTCCCCCACTCACATTCGATTTCTCTCTCTAAAATAAACATTAAAAAAATTATAATAGACCTACAGCACTTATAATAGGACCTGGCCCTTAGTAAGCACTCAGTAAAGGTAAGTTAGTATTGTTTTTGATGGTATTATTGTTATTACTATTACCATGACTACTGTGACTGCTTCTATCTCTACTTCATTGCCAGGAAGAGGGCCTTGTACATAGCAGGTGATAAATCACCAATGGGTGAATGAGCAAGGGACTGAATGCTGCTCTTCTTCCATTCTTCAAGGTGGGGGACCGGGTGATGGTGTTGATCCGGTCAGGCATGTGGCAGGAGGAGGTGACTGTGCCCTCAGCCCAGACCTTCCAGATGCCTGAGGCCATGACCTTTGAGGAAGCCGCTGCCTTGCTGGTCAATTACATCACAGCCTACATGGTCCTCTTTGACTTCGGCAACCTACGGCCTGGCCACAGCGTCTTGGTACACATGGCTGCAGGTGACAGGCCCCCTCCCTTTATGCCCCCCTCCTTACCCCACCCTGATTTCCTTCGGGCCCCTTCCCTGCAGCCTGTCTGGACGGTTGTCATGGCAACACCAGGCTGCCTCGGCCTATGGCTCCCAGAGGCCTCTGCAGTATTGTTGCCGTGGTAACATTCAGGCACCAGGTCCAGCCTGGTGTGCTATCCATAGCAACGTGCCCTCACCCGGCACCCCCTCCTTTGCCAGCTACCCTTCCCCCCAATTCTCAATCATGGAAATTGGACATGGTTATGAGGAGAGAAAGCCTCAAAATGGGCCCAGGCAAAATGAAGGTGATGAACGGAGTCCTTGAGAGACAAGAATGGAGAGCGGTGGCGGGGTGACTCCACATCCCCTCCTTATGAAAGTGTCTTGCTGCAGGGGGTGTGGGTATGGCCGCCGTGCAGCTGTGTCGCACAGTGGAGAATGTGACGGTGTTCGGAACGGCTTCGGCCAGCAAGCACGAGGTGCTGAAGGAGAACGGGGTCACACACCCCATCGACTACCATACGATGGACTATGTGGATGAGATCAAGAAGGTCTCCCCCAAAGGTGGGATCGGGGTATGGGTATGGGCAGGGGCAGGATGGCACAGGACAGGGATGGGACACTCCAGATCTGTGGATCCTAATGCTGCCTCTGGGCCCCCCTGCTCTGTGACAGGAGTGGATATCGTCATGGACCCTCTGGGTGGGTCAGATACTGCCAAGGGCTACAACCTCCTCAAACCCATGGGCAAAGTGGTCATCTATGGTGAGTTAGTAGGCTGGGGATGGAGGGGGGAAGCAGGGTGGGTCTGAAGGGTAGGATGCAGGGGTCCAGGGACTCCAGTGCTCGAGGGAGCATCGGGTTAGGACTGGCCTGGGTGATGCATTCAGATTGCTACCTCTGGTGGGGGGCAGCTACTCTCATTCTCTTTCACTACTGTTCCTGTGAGTCACAGTGCATTCTGTGTTCTCTCTGTGCTCCTGTTTGGGGATTTTTCCAGATGCAAAATCAATCAGCCTGCCTTCCTTTGTCCTACCTTCCTGGGTTTCTTGGTCAGGCTGCATTTTCATTTGCAAAACGATTTCACACATGGGGCACCTGGGTGGCTTAGTTGGTTAAGCATCTGACTTCGGCTCAGGTCATGATCTCACAGCTCATGAGTTCGAGCCCCACATTAGGCTCTGTGCTGACAGGTCAGAGCCCGGAGCCTGCTTCGGATTCTGTGTCTCCCTCTCTCTCTGCCCCTCCCCTGCTCACACTCTTTTTGTCTTTCTCAAAAATAGATTAAAAAAAGAAAGAAAAACTATTTCACACACACAAAATCAACAAGTGAATAAAGATTCAGGCAATTTTTGAGTCAGCTGGAGTCCATTTGGGCCTGGCAGCCAGCAGGTGGGGGATTATCCTGTCACTCCCTGGCACTGCTGTGGATGATTGTAAGAGGCCCAGAGGGGGTGGATGAGCATGGATTTGGACAGGGATGTGCCCAGCACCTGGATTTACGGGCCGCGTCTCCTCATCCCTCAGGAATGGCCAACCTGCTGACGGGCCCCAAGCGGAACCTGATGGCCCTGGCGCGCACATGGTGGAACCAGTTCAGTGTGACTGCGCTGCAGCTGCTGCCGACCAACCGCGCTGTGTGTGGTTTCCACTTGGGCTACCTGGAGGGTGAGGTGGAGCTAGTCAGTGGTGTGGTGGCCCGCCTCCTGGCTCTGTACAACCAGGGCCGCATCAAACCCCACATTGACTCCGTGTGGCCCTTTGAGAAGGTGAGTGTGATGGCTGTGCAGGGAGGGCCGGAGGAGGGCCCCTGCAGGCTGGGCTCCCAGGGGTAGGATTCCTGGGAAGAGGAGGGCTGACCCCTTTAGGCTGGCTCTCTAGAGGGGCCGGATGGCACCGGGTCTTGTCTTCCTCTCCAGGTGGCGGATGCCATGAGGCAGATGCAGGAGAAGAAGAATGTGGGCAAAGTCCTCCTGGTGCCTGGACCAGAGAAGGAGAACTAGGGCCGGGGCTGGCAGACCCTCGGGACCTGGGAAGAGAGAAGCTAGGGAGCCACGTTGTATTGGTCACCAGACTCTCTTACATTTCATCCTCCTCATAATGCTCTGCCCACTCGCCCCCGAAGGTCTCTGTGGTGATGACCTCTCCCCTGCCCTGTTCTTTCTCCTTAGGCAGGGCCCCCTCCCCCCTTCCTGCCCTCCGAAGAGGTTGGGAAGTGACCACTTGGATGTCTGGGCCCTGCCAAGGGGACAGGGAGGGTCAGAGGGAGGCCGGCTGCTTCCTGCCCCCACCCTTTCCCTGGGCCTGCTGTGCTGCTTTTGTGCCAAGGTTAGCCAGTCCTTTTCCGTCCAGTTCTGTGTGCTTCCACCTCTGCCTCATCTCCCCTCCTGCCCCTGCCCCACACTCCCCTCCCCAAAGAGTCAAAATGTCAGCTCAGGATATGGGGCCAATTTGTGTGAATCCAGCATGTCCCTGTCTCGCCCTCCTGTCCCTTCAGCCCAGGCCAACTGGCGCCCACCTCTGAACTCTGTTGCCTCGTTGCATGGCCTTGTCCTCTGGTCCCCGTCTCCTTGAGCACAGCTGGGTTTCTTCCACCTCCAGGTTTTCTGCCACTCTTAACCAAGGTTGCCTCTTACAACAAGGGTGGGAATCTGACCTGCTTCCCTAGGTCACGACTCTGTGGGAGGGACACAGAGCCCCCCCCACCTCCCCATCCTTCACTGAGTTCTAGTGGATTTGTTCTCAGTGCCTTAGCAACGGAAAACCTGTGCTTGCGTGTGTGGGTGGGTGGGGGGTCCCTGTCTCACACCTCCTCCTCCACCCCTGAACTCCCCAGTGCCTTCCTCGTTCTGGTGGAGGTGGGCTTTTGCTGTCCCACAACACTGCCAAAAATCTGTGTGTGTGCCAGTGGGGGCAGGGGGCAGCCCCTAGCCTCCTGGGGTCTGTGCCGTGTCCCGTCTCTGGGGCTGTCATTTCTCTCTGGGTGGTTGAGGAGAAAAAGGCAGGGTGGCGTTCTCAGCCTTGCAGATAAGTGTGGCATTTACCAGCCAGAGCTCTGAGAGGCAATGCCATCTGTTTCTTGTTCTGGGACCAAAGTAAAAAATCGAAGCACATTTCTTGTGTAGTCAAGGGAGGCCCACTGCCTTCTCAGAGCAGGAGGGCAGCTTTTCAAACTCAGCCCCAAACTTTGTTTACATGGGTGGGGAGATGGAACAGGGGAATAAGGAGGGGGGTGGTTAGGACCTGGGCCACCGGAACCAAAGTGGGGACTTCCTGGCGCAGGGGTACAACTCCCTCTGCTCTCTGATACGGAATTAGGGAGGGTTACTGCCCAGCTATTGCCAATGGGAGGTGGGGGGAGGGGCTCAGCCTCTTCAGTGTCTAAATGAGGCCTAAATGTGTGAAGGGCGATTTCTGCTTTTGTGTACCCCACCCCGTTACTGTTACCGAAGCTGCCTTTGTGTTGTGTCAATAAAAAGCCAAACCCTGGGTCCTGGATGTTGCCTCCGAGAGTGGAGGGGAAGGTGGGCTCCTGGAAGGTGAGGGTTCCTCCTTCTGTGCTCACATCAAGTTTCCTTTCAGGAAATGAAATGAGAAGAGGGTCACGCCACTTTTATTGTTCTTGGGCAGCATTTCATAAGCCATAATCCCTGCCGCTGTTGACCAGCACGATCTCTTGCACCTGTGCGCCCAAATCCAGCCTGGTTTGAGAGGCTTGGCAGGGGCGCGGGGGAGGGGATGAGAAGGGCAGGCTCTTAGCCTGACGTGGTGGTGAAGACCGCCAGGCCCCGCTGTCCTGGGGGCACAACTGTTAGGGCCTCCACCTCCCCACCTCCACGGGAGGGCTTCTGGAAGTGGATCTCCAGGATGTCCTGAAGCTCTGGGCCATCCAGGACGTCAGGAATGTTGAGCACCAGCACTGACTGGGGCACTGGCCGGAACACGATCTGGAAAAGGAGCCAGGAGATGGGCCTGGTTCATGAGAGTCAGGGACTGGAGGTAGGCAGTGCCCCTGGGGGTCTGGGAAGGGTCGGGAGGCCTGAGAGGCTGACTGGCAATGGGGAGGGCAGTGGAGTCTGGGGACTCTGATCCTTTCTTGGGCAAATTTCTGCCAGGCAGACAGGTTCCTGGCCCAGCCACCAATTCACCTTCCCACTTACCTCAGCCTTCTGGATCTCCCCACTTAGGAAGGGAGAGATTCTCAAAGGGAAGCTTTTCGTGCCCAGTGGCACTGTAAACTGGCCAGCCTGGCACAGGTGCTGGGCCACTGTGGGGACAGAGAGGGATGGACCTCTAGCATCAGGGCTTTTCTCCCCCGTGGCGGGCTGCATCAGCCCCAATCTTGTCGGCAAGACCCTTACCTGCATCCTTAGTGAAACTCAGCACGACACCACTTTGCAGCAGCTTCCGACTCTCCACATCGCCACCCCCATTCCTGGACTTGCCAAAGAAGATCTCTAGCTTGTCCAGCAGCTCCTCCTCACTCAGCCTGAGCCCTGCAGGAAACCCACTGACCAGCACACTCCTCCTGCTTATCTGTGTGGACACCTAGGGACAGACAGGAGGGAGAGGTACAGCCCCACTCATCCCCTGTGCCCAAGTGCATGGCACCCCCTGCATGTCCCAGGACGCTGCAGTCCTATCACCTGGATGGTGGTCACCACGGGCAGCTCCAAGGACTGGACTTGCACCCGCAGTCGGCACTCATCGATGTCGATCTTATGCTCCTTTTGTTGCAGCACCCTCTCGGCCACTGGGTCGGGGGAGCAGGGTCAGAACTGGGAAGCCTCCCAGCCTCCCTCCCAGGACCTCTGTGAGAGCTCACCCTTGGGATCGTCGAAGGTGACCAGAGCAGAGCCTCCAGGCAGAGGGTAGCAGATCCATAGTTTGGAAACCAAAGGCTTGGACCCTTCTGTGCCCTGCTGAGTGTGTCCTCGGAACACCAGGGGGACCAAGGGCACCGGGAATGGGACCTGGAGGTGGGGGAGGGGAGGCTGATGCAGCCTTGAAGGGTGGGAGAGGCCCCACCATCCCTAGAAGGAAAGTGTTCCATGGAATTGAGGCCGGGGATGAGCACACTTATTGAAAGGAGAGCTGGATAAAAGGGTGGATGAAGGTAGGTCAAGCCTGTAGGAGCACTTTCCACACAAGATGTTACTTTGTCCTCACAAGCCTCCAAGTTTGGTAGCTCTGTGTCACAGATGAGAAAACAGATCCAGAGAGTTCAAGTGCCATACTGGAGGTCATGCAGTGAGGAAGTGGCAGAGCCAGGAGAGAAACTGGTTCTTTCTACCACACCACACCCCTCTCCCAGCTTACCTGGTTGTGGTGAGGGAAGTCCCCAAATTCCCTCCTCCGCTGCTGCAGCTGCTGCAGCCTCCTCTTTAGTCTGGCCTGCTCCTCCCGAAGGGCATGGAGAGCCTATTGGGGTGGGGGAGACGACCAGACTTCCATCTGCCTTCCCAGAGAATGAGCCCAGGGGAAAGGGACCCGATCCTGGACTCTTCCACAGCAGAGCTGATGCTCAGCTCCGGAACAGCCCAACCCCTTTCCCCTGTCCCGGGGTTGGCCCTGGCCCACTCTCCTCAGGATTTGGTTGGCCTCATCTCAGCTGGGGGAGGGGGACAAGCGGAGGAGCCCTTGCAGCAGCCACAGCTGTGTTGTTACAGGACAGCTTGCATTTAACAGACACCGAGCTCCTGCTGTGCGGTGCTGGGCACTGACACAGGGCAAGGGGGGGAGAAGAGGCTAGCCCTCGGGTCTGTACAAAACACCACCCAAGACAGTGTACCCTCACATGACAGACTGTGGAGGACATCAGGAGTATGGAGGAGGGACAGTCCCATAGGGCTTAACATAACTAGGGAGACCTCTGGGAGGAGTGGGGGCTTAGAGTGGCAAAATGTCATAGTATTCACTAACTTTTTTTTTTTTAATGTTCATTTGTTTTTGAGAGAGAGAGAGCTTGCATGCACTTGCATGCACACATGAACGGGGGAGGGGGAGAGAAAGACAGAGAGAGAGAGAGAGAGAGAGAGAGAGAATCCAAAGCAGGCTCCACACTGTCAGTGCAAAGTCTGACATGATGCTCGAGCCCACAAACTGTGAGATCATTACTGGAGCTGGAGTTGGATGCTCAACTGACTGAGCCACCCCAGGTGCCCCAGCTAATGTTTATTGAGCACTTACTATATGTCAGGCACTATGCTAAGCTTTAATTAAAAAAATTTTTTTTGAGAGCACGCAGGAGTGGGAAGAGAGAGAGAAATCTCAAGCAGGCCTCATGCTCAGCATAGAGCCCAATGTGGGGCTCGATTCTATGACCCTGGGATCATAACCTGAGTCGAAATCAAGAGTCAGATGCTCAACCAATTGAGCCATGCAGGCACCCTGTGCTAAGCGTTTTATGGCTTTTATATGGCTCAATTCTTGAAACAACCCTGTGAAATAAATTCCCTCTTATCCTTATTTTATAGATGAGGAAACTGAAGCTCAGAGAGGTTAAGTGACTTGCTTGAAGTCATTCAGCCCTATGCAGTCTGACTCCAGACTGCTAATCTGTGCTTTACAGTGAAGAAATCAAGCCCAGAGTGGGGGAACAATTTACCCCACATCTCCTAGCTTGTCCCTTGACTGCCATTCTTTCCACTGCAGCAAGCAGCCTTTCAGGCTGGGTGTGATTTGGAGCAATTCCAGAGACAGAGAGTGACAACATGGGCAGGGGAATGACACCAGGGATACGAATAAATGCACCTTTGTTTTGGGATGAAGTAGATGTGAGCTGGCAGAGTTCACTCTGTGGTTGGGAAGCCTGATAAATAAGGTCAGCTCAGAGAAGTGTGAGCTCACTGGGGAAGGCGGGACTCTGTCCTAGTCATCTCTGTATCCCCAGTGTTCAGCAGAGTTCCTGGCACAAAACAGGCATTCAGTAAATGTGTGTTGAATGAATGAATGAATGAATGAAGTGAATTAATGACAGAATGGGAATATATTACAGAGGGCATTGAATTATTCAGTGTGAGTTCACTCTATTTTAAACAGACAAAAACTAGGGCTTGACCAAATAATGCTGGTTTATGAGTAGTGAGAAAGGTACCTAGTTCTTTATATGCCTACAAACAAGGTGTCTTTAAGGGCCAGTTAGATGACATCGGTGAGTCCAGGGAGCCAGTGTAGACCATAGGGAGTGCTAGGGACTCACGAACTGGAGAGAGCATGTCCCCGCTAAAGTGGCAACTTCTCAGCTCCAACCAAGATTTTCTTTTCTTTTCTAAGTTAGTTATTTATTTTGAGAGCAAGAGCATGTGCAGGAAGGGGGAAGGGCAGAGAGAAAGAGAGAGAGAAAATCCGAAGCAGGCTCTGCAAAAGCAGTGTGGAGCCCAATAGCTCAAACCCACAAACCATGAGATCATGACCTGAGCTGAAACCAAGAGTCAGACACTTAACCAACTGAACCACCCAGGCACCCCATCCAACCAAGATTTTCTCACATGGGAATGTGGTTCCTGTATCCCATTTCTTCTTTTTCTTTCTTTCTTTTTTTTTTTAAAGTAAGCTCTATGCCCAACATGGGGCTTGAACTCATAACCCCAAGATCAAGAGTCATGTGCTGTACCAACTGAGTTGCCAGGTGCCCCATATATTCCCGTTAAAAAAAAATCTATATATATTTATTTATGTGGGGGGAGAGTACAAGCAGAAGAGGGGCAGAGAGAGGGGGACAGAGAATCTGAAGCAGGCTCTGTGCAGTGAGCCCAGTGTGGGACTGGAACTTACGAACACCAGATTATGACCTGAGCCGAAGTCGGACACTCAACTGACTGAACCACCAAGGTGCCCCTCCCCATATCTTCCCATTTTTAAGGGAAATAAAAATCTGAATTTTTATTTGAAAGAGATAATTAAATTTAAAAATATATGAAAAAAGGGGCGCCTGGGTGGCGCAGTCGGTTAAGCGTCCGACTTCAGCTCAGCTCAGGTCACGATCTTGCGGTCCGTGAGTTCGAGCCCCGCGTCGGGCTCTGGGCTGATGGCTCAGAGCCTGGAGCCTGTTTCCGATTCTGTGTCTCCCACTCTCTCTGCCCCTCCCCCGTTCATGCTCTGTCTCTCTCTGTCTCAAAAATAAATAAACGTTAAAAAAAAATTTAAAAATATATGAAAAAGTAAATTAAAAAAAATGAAATTCATTTTAAGATGTTTTGAACTAGATTCAGTCCTAAGTTCATTCTCTTTTTACTTCTGCTTTAAATCTTGATCTAAATATACATAATTGTTTGAAAATCTAGCAATTAGCAATGCTATTTAATAAAATAACTTTTAGTGGCACCTGGGTGGCTCAGTTGTTTAAGTGTCCAACTCTGGGTTTTGGCTCAAGTTATGACCTCACGGTTTTGTGGATTCAAGCTCCACATTGGTCTCCGCACTGACAATACAGAGCCTGCTTGGGATTCTCTCTCTTCCTCTCTCTCTCTCTCTCTGTCCCTCCCCCACTTCTGCTATCTCTCACTCTCTAAATAAAATAAACAAAATTTAAAAATAAAGATAAAATAAAATAATAAAACAAAATAAAATAAAATAGCTTTAAAAAAGGGCACCAGGGTGGATCAGTCATTTAAGCATCCGACTCTTGATCTTGGCTCAGGTCATGATCTTGCGGTTTATTTTTTTATTTTATTTTATTTAAAAAAAATTTTTTTTTCAACGTTTATTTATTTTTGGGACAGAGAGAGACAGAGCATGAATGGGGGAGGGGCAGAGAGAGAGGGAGACACAGAATCGGAAACAGGCTCCAGGCTCTGAGCCATCAGCCCAGAGCCCGACGCGGGGCTCGAACTCACGGACCGCGAGATCGTGACCTGGCTGAAGTCGGACGCTTAACCAACTGCGCCACCCAGGCGCCCCATGATCTTGCGGTTTATAAGTTTGAGCCTCACATCAGGCTTTGCTCTGATGTGACACAGAATCTGAATCTGAGCTGTGAGCACAGAGTGTGATGTGGGGCTCAAACCCATGAGCCATGAAGTCAGATGCTTAACTTACTGAGCCACCCAGGTGCCCCACTATAGAGTTTTTTTTTTTTTCCCAACGTTTATTTATTTTTGGGACAGAGAGAGACAGAGCATGAACGGGGGAGGGGCAGAGAGAGAGGGAGACACAGAATCGGAAACAGGCTCCAGGCTCTGAGCCATCAGCCCAGAGCCTGACGCGGGGCTCGAACCCACAGGCCGCGAGATCGTGACCTGGCTGAAGTCGGACGCTCAACTGACTGCGCCACCCAGGCGCCCCTATAGTTTTTTTTAATGTTTATTTTGAGCAAGCGAGCGAGAGAGAGTGTGGGTGCATGAGCAGGGGAGGGGCAGAGAGAGAGAGAGGGAGAGAATCCCAAGCAGGCTTCATGCTGTCAGTGCAGAGGCCCACTTGGGGCTTGATCCCATGAACTGTGAGACCATGACTTGAGCTGAAATCAAGAGTCAGACACTTAACTGACTGAGCCATCCACACGCCCCTAAATATAGAGTTTTTAAAAGAACCATTGGAGCAGGGGAGTTCAGATCTAATATAAGTAGGGGATGGAGAACTAGTGAAGATTTCTGAGGGGGGTGAGGTGGTGGACATGGTGTTTAAGAGAGCAACTTGGCAGCCATGGCACGATGAGCTGGAGCAGCGGGAACTGGGGAGGGACACTCTGAGGTTCTAATTCCTCCTGACATGACAGAAGCTGAGCTGGACCTCTGGCAATGGGCATGCACGGGTGAGCACATTTCAGGAAGCAGGCCTCCAGACTCTCTGGATGTTTATATTAAGGAGACAGAGAGGACAAACTGGAGAGACAATGCCAAGGTTGTAGACTTGGGTGTCAAGAATTTGGTAGAATCCACTGACCCAGCAGGCAAGTGGTTATTGGGGGCCTGCCAGGTGCTGGGCACGGTTGGACTCCGTCTCATTTTAAGTATCACAGAACTGCCTCCTGTCTCCAAGTTCCAACTGGAACTTCTCTCTTATAGGACCCTCTTAAGGACACCACAAGCTGACTGTAGTCACTTACATGAATTCAACTATACATGCGTGACATGATAACATGGTAACATGGTCTCCTAAATGTAAGCCAATGTACATCTGGTGCTTAACCGAAAAAAACTGCAATCCATTCCACATTGAGCTCATTGAGAGACTGTAAATTCTGGATACTGTAGGGGTGAGTTAATGATTTAAGATTAATTTTGACTACCTACATTCTTCTGCCTTACTTGCGAAATTTACAACCTAACCACCCCATAAGATAAAATCTCCTGCTGTTTATGTTCATCATAGGGTATTGGGAGGCTGTTCGGCATAACAGTTAAGAACACGAACTCTGGAGACAAACCTCCAACGCTTACATCCAGCTCCTTTTAGTACTGCAAGACAATGAACAAGTTATTTAACTCTCTGTGCCTTGGTTTCCTTATCTGCAAAATGGACATAATAGCAATTTCCACCTATAATTTTGTTGGGAACAATGGTGCCTGGCACGTGATGAGTGCTATGTTGAATGTTTCCTATTTTATGAATCCTCATTTTATATGAGGAACCTGAGGTTTGTCAGGGTTAATTAATGAGCCAAAATAAGTCAAACTCGAGGCCGTTGAAGACACATATGGTCAGGGACAGGACTTGGTGGAAATGACTCTGGGTTGGAGCAGCATGTGTAATGGAAGAAGTCAAAAGGAAGGAAGGGCTCTGTGAGGGACAGAGCTTTAAAACTGTAATCTTTGGGGCACCTGAGTGGCTCAGTCGGTTGAGCGTCCAACTTTGACTTAGGTCTTGATCTCACTGTTTGTGAGTTCAAGCCCCAGCACTGGGCTCTCTGCTGTCAGCACAGAGCCTGCTTTGGATCCTCTGTCCCCCTTTCTCTCTGCCCCTCCCCATTCACACTCTCTCTCAAAAATAAATACACATTAAAAAAAAAAAAGGGTAAAAAAAAAGAAAACAACAAAAACAGCCCAAAAGAGAGGTGTCTAGCTGGCTCAGTCAGTAGAGCATGCAACTCTTGATCTCAGGGTCTGAGTTTGAGACCCAGGTTGGGTAGAGCTTACATTAAAAAAAAAAAAAAAGCAAAAAAAAAGCCAAAAAACAAAAAAAAGCCCACACAAAAAAAGTCAAAAATAAATCTACATGTCCAACTATACAGGAATAGCCTAATAAATATATTATGTAGCAATTAGAAGACATTAAAGAACATTTAACAATATGAAGAAATACACTAAGCTAAAAAAGCAAAATACAAAATAAAACTGTACAGAGTGTGATCTCTATTCTGTTGATTTAAAAAGTTTCATTTCAGAGGCACCTGGGTGGCTCAGTCAGTTAAGCATCTGACTCTTGATTTCGCCTCAGGTCATGATCTCATGGGTTTTTAGCTCAAACCCCATGTCAGGCTTTGTGCTGACAGTGCAAAGCCTGTTTGGGATTCTCTCTCCCTCTTTCTGTTCCTTCCCTGTTCTCTCTCTCTCAAAATAAATAAACATAAAAAAAAAGAAGTTTCCTGAAGGGCTCCTGGGTGGCTCAGTTGGCTAAGTGTCCGACTTCAGCTCAGGTCATGATCTTGCAGGTCTGTGAGTTTGAGCCCCACGTTGGGCTCTGTGCTGACAGCTCAGAGCCTGGAGCCTGCTTCAGATCCTCTGTCCCCTGTCTCTCTGACCCTCACACCCTTCTCTCAAAAATAAATAGACATTAAAAAAAAGTCATAGGGGTGCCTGGGTGGTTCAGTTGGTTAAGTGTCCGACTCTTCTTTTTGGCTTCAGTCATGGTTGTGAGATCGAGCCCCAGGTCGGGCTCTGCTCTGAAAGTGTGGAGTCTGCTTGGGATTCTCTCTCTCCCTCTCTGTCTGCCCTCCTCCCCCCACTCATACTCTCTCTCTCAAAATAAATAAAAATAAACAAACAAACAAAAACTCATAATAAAAAAGTCTCCGGCACCCATTTTAGAGGTAGGAGTGAAATGGAAGTGAATCAAGATAATCTTGGGGAATAGGGGTTCTGAAAGGTTGGCAATAATATTAAGAATAACAAACACGTATTGTACGTTTAGGAGGTGCCAACCAGTGTGCTAAGTTTTTACTATATTGATTTATAGATTATCTGCTTAAATTAAAAAAAATTTTTTTTTACATTTATTTTTGTGCCATGAGGGAGATAGAGCACAAGTGGGGGAGGGGCAGAGAGAGAAGGAGGCACAGAATCCGAAGCAGGCTCCAGGCTCTGAGCCGTCATCACAGAGCCCGACGCGGGGCTAGAATTCACAGAGCGCAAGATCATGACCTGAGCCGAAGTTGGGAGCTTAATTAACCGACTGAGCCACCCAGGCGCCCCAAAGATTTTTTTAAAGTAATCTCTAAACCCAACGTGGGGCTCGAATTTACAACCCTGAAATTAAGAGTTTCATGCTCCACTGGCTCAGCCGGCCCTCAGCCTGTGATCTTTCTTACTACATTTGAGGGGCAAATGAAAAATTCCCAAGCAAGACATCTGTGTATTTATAACAGATGGGGTAGTATCAGGGAGGGGGGAAAAGGAAGAAACTGGAGAGGGGAGGAGATGCATTCATTTAACAGCTGTTTATTGAGGGCTGTGTGCATGCCAGGCACAGTGCTGGCATGGTGAACAGGCTGGATGGGGGACCAGTCATAGTCTAGCAGGAGTAGGATCATTCACAGGTCAGGAAAGGGAGGAGCACAGCACACAGTGGGAAGGTGAGCTCTCAGAGGAGAGACATGTCTCCCTGTGACCTGGAAGAGGGCCTAAGATTCAGCTGACATCAACAATAAGGTGAGGAACTATCTATTTCAACTCTAAGATGAAATATAAGGAGGCAAGTTTGTTGGGCAAGATCTCAGGAGATCTTACACGTTTTGGGTCATAAAACCCTTTGAGTATCTAACAAGAACTATGGATTCTCTCAGAAAAATGCACATTCACCCAAGAAATGCTTGAGCTCCTGAGGTGTAGGTTATAGAACTATCTTTGAGGCAGTGGGTTAGGGGAGAGGTAATCCCCGCCACATTTCTCCCCAGTCCTTCAGCAAGTCTAAGAGATGAGCAGAGAGGGGCTTGGCCACCAGACCCGGAGATAGCTGCAGATTTCCAGCCGAGGGAAATGCTCCTCTGCTTCTCGCCCCTCCCCCCAACACTCTCCTCACTTACGGCATCATGGGTCACTGACATGGGCCTGGGGTCCGGCTGGCAAGAGTTGAGGCTTCAGAGCTGGGCACAAAGTGGCAGTGTCCACAGCGACAGAACTCTTGCTTGTACCTTCTGATGGGCTTTAGCCTCCTCTAAGCCGGACCTGAAATACACTTCTGATGTAGAACTGGCAGGCTCTTTGCTTCCACTTTCATTTCACCAAAATCCCTGCCCTTTGGTGTTCACACGCCCCCAGCTGGTTTCCCCACCCCGGGGAGGAGCCTTTCTGGTCTGGGAAGTTGACTTCACCCAGATAGGAGGTCTCAGGGGAATCTACCCATAAACATAGGCAAACAGAATGTGGGCCCCAACCTACCACTCATTCTAACACAAGCCTTTTGGTAGAATAGTGTCTTTTGTTATTTCCCTGGAACCTAGAAAGATGCCAGGCACACACAAATTAAGATTAATTGAATGAGAAAGGCAACCAGGATGGTTAAAGCCTTTCCACCAAATTCACAAGAGCTGTACTAATAGCCAGCATTTGTTGGGAGCTGTTCTGTGCCCAATACTGGATATGCTTTACATGAATTAACTTAATCTTTAAAACAACCCCACAAAGTTGGTTCCATTTTTGCCATTTTACAGATGAGCTTGTAAACTTCAGAGGCAAAGTGCAGAAACTTGCTTAGAGGTCCTATTGCTAGGAAGCATGTATCTAAACCTGGTTAGAACAATACTTGAATTTGAGCCTTGAGGTTGAGTGGAAGGAACTTGGAAGTTTTAGGCAGAAGGCTTAAATTCAGTTTCATTTGTGACTGAGCAGGCAAGCTACTTAGAGGGGTCTGTCTCAAGAGAGATGTTCGATACTTAAAGGTGAAGAATCAAATGAAACTACATAGGACACAGTGCACGACGTTTCCTATTATCTAGTCCGTGATATTTCCAGAGTAATTTACACTCAGCCCTTCTCAATCTCTTTCCCTACATCCCAGGGGGATGTGTGCCAAGTGTAAGGCTTGGCAAACGTGCCTGTTTGAATCCTTCCATCTAGTGACAGAACCAATTCAAATGGAGAGCCTATTTTGCCAGTAAAACAGAGTCAACACTTAGGGTCCAATGAAAGGTAAAATGCCAAATAAAAGGACCAAATTAGCTTTCCTGCAACTGTGGGGACATACCCATGCCCAAGACCCTTGAACCACACCTTTTCTTGTTGTTCTGCTAGCCAGGCCATTTGAGGACCTCTTCTAATCTCACTAACAATGGGTGCTCTAGAGGTCAGGCCTTCATTAGTCCCCACTGCTATCTAGAGCAGTTCTCCAGTGTGGGCCTCATCACAGCAGCACAGGGATCACTGGACAACCTGCTTGAAATTCTGACCTACTAACCCTCAAGAGTGGGACTTCAGCACCTTGTCATTGTTCAGAGAACCTCAGATTAGTGGCTCTCAATCCAAAGTAATCAGTGCCTGCTGAGAGGGGCTTGTGGGTGTTCACAATGGAGGGTGGAGGGAGGAGAGTGGCCCAGGTTCTCTATGTAGGTAACAGGTTGAAGCCAGGGATGCTAAACAACTCTGCACCTACACATCAGTAGTAGTCTTTTTTTGGGAAATCATTCAGTAGCTCACGCCTTACCCACCGAGGGCGGTCAGATGATTAAAGGATTATCAGGAGGACAGAAGTAGTCCAAATCTCACAAAAGCGCTATTTTATATACTTTTCCACAGCTTCTCCTCTCACCCACCACCCAACGTCTTATCATATGAATGTTCTTCAGCAGTCTAATAATACATGCTACAAGCAGACAGTGATTTTTTTTTTTTTTTTTTTTTGGTATTTTTAATGACTGAAACAAAACAAACTTAAAACCGCAGCTTCTGGAAGAACCATTTGTTCTTGCCGGTCTTGTACCTAGACAGAAAGAAAAGGACACCAATGAGAACAGTGAAACTAAATTCCCTTCATGGAGGATATGGATACCATATTCCCAACATCCACTACCAAAGCTATTTACCTCTCCTCGAACTTGACCTTGGCCTCTCGTCGGGCCTTGCGTTTAAGAGCAGGGTCTCTGAAGACATCCTTGTTGACAACAGTTTTGTCCAAGGGGATATCCACAGAGTACCTGGGGACAACAGTGGGGAGGGAAGATCAGCCCACATGCGGCCAGGGCCGTCGCACAGCCTGGGACGTTGGGATGGCAGCGTCTGTCTCCACAGGAGCAATCCGCAAAAGCTGTGCCAAAGTCCTGATGATATTTTTTGGAAATTGTCAATTTAAAAAGACTCAAGCCATGAAAATACTTCACGTTTCATTCTCAACTTTCCAGTGACTATTTTTCTGGCTAAGGATTGTCACTTTAATCATGGTGGTTGGCCAGCTTCCTATTTGGAGCCATTTTATTTAGTGGTGTTCAAGTTGTGCCTGGGGAAGGGTTAGCCTCATTATGAGAATGCAAAAGCTAGGGGACTAGTTACCGAGGTCTGTTTCCCAGCACCTGAGAAACAGCAATGTCCTTTTAAGACAGCCCATTAAGAGTAAACATGCAGCCGCCGGTAGCAAACTGTAAGGCACACACTGCTGGGTTTTGGCAATTATCGTTCAGGACTCTCTCAAATATTTTTATTTCCTTATAACCTATACACCAAGATAGCATGAATGGCACACAATACTGTGAACGGCCAGGAACTCAGGGGCTTGAGAGCCAAGTGGAATCAGCTGGGGGGAGGTTTGCTTTCCTTTATTTATCAACAATTTTTGAAAGCCTGTAAAAACTATCCTTGAAAGTGGAATAGTGGAAGACAGCAGGCCAGATCCCGTGCCTGTATTTATCGTGATTGCAAACAAATGCAGCAATCTTTACCTAACACTTCTAGGATTTTCAGGTGAGGAGACAGATCAGGAGCAAGCTTGGAAAAAGAATTTTCTTTTTTTTTTTTTTGGAAAAAGATTTTTCAATCCTGCTTGGCCCAGTCAGGGAAGTCACCACAGAAAATGACAGAACACAGCTCCACATTCAATTAAAGAGGCAACACTGGGGGGGGCGCTTGGGTGGCTCAGTCGGCCGAGTGTCTGACATCCGCTCAGGTCAGGATCTCACAGTTTGTGGGTTCGAGCCCCACGTCAGGCTCTGTGCTGACAGCTCAGAGCCTGGAGCCTGCTTCAGATTCTGTCTCTCTCTGCCTCTCTCCCACTTGTGCTCTCTCAAAAATAACATTAAAAAAAAAAAAAAAAAAAGAGGCAGCACTTGAAACCATGACCACTTTGTAAGTCACACATGAAAATGTCTCTTCCCCACACTGGAATGGCTGCAAAGTTGAAAGCTGTCTCCTTATTCAGCAGGCCAGAGGGGAGAAAAGAAAGTCACTTTCATAACCATTCTTGATATGCTCACCTTGTGGGCATGAGGTGATTGTAGTTATAAACTTTCACAAAAGACTTGATCTTTGACCTCTTGGCGATTTTCTTCTTGCCCATGGCAGCTGTCACTTTGCGGGGATAGCGATCAATTCCAGCCACCAGAGCGTGGCTGTAGGGACGGTCTGAGGTGCCATCATCGATGTTCTGAACAAGCAAGAATCACGTTAGTAATCGAGGGCCTACTGAGGCACTGTGCTAAATCCAGGCCATGTATAAAAAGAATACCCCCACTCCCAATCTGAGACCCGCTACTGGAAAAACATTCTGAGCGCTAGGCTAGATGCCCAAACAGTATTGGGTCGTATTCATTCCCACCAAGAATCTAGAAAGGCTTGTGGGAGCTAAGTGATTTAAAACTAACAATAATTAGCATTTATGGAGTGTTTGCTTTCTATCAAGCACTGGTTCTTAGGACTTAACATCTCTTAACTTCTACAATTACATGGCTAGTTGGTGGTCTAACTCCAGAAACCAGTCTCAGACAGATGAGGGAAGGGAAACAAAGGGTGTCCCAGTGGTCCCACAACAACCAAAAGCAAGTGCTTGGCCAGAGCTTAGCAAAATCTCACAAGAGGCCACAAAATGTAGGCAGAAGGCAAAGAACGGAGGGCTAGAATATGCTAAGTGATTGTTTTGCCTAGAAACCATTTCTCCTCTTTTTACAGAATCCCACCTGCAGCACTTAATGTTTTACTTCAGTTAGTTACTTAACGTCTCCAGACACCAGCAGTAGAAAAGAATCCCCTACGGTTACAAGCACTGGGCATGACACCACCTGGAAAGCAGTGCCAGATACCAAGCAAGCGCTCGATAAACGCCGGGCATTATTATATTTTAAAGCCTCTTTAATAGAGAACCCATTATATGTTAGGCGCCCAATTCAACTCACATCTGTTTGCATTTTGCATTTTTCTCTTTCAAGAGCCCCGATGCATTCACTCCCACCCGCAATGCTCAGTGACCAATGCCCCCAAGCTAGCTCTTGACTTCCACGCTTGCAGGCTTTCCGAAACCAGCCCCGTTCCTGGGATGTAGGCGCGCAGAGGCTCGCGAGGAGGGTACCTTCACGATGACCGCCTTGCGTCCGGAGTAGCGTCCGGCCAGGACCAGCACCACCTTCCCGGGTTTCATGAATTTGCCCATCTCTGCAGGGGAAGGAGAAGGGGCCGTTCAGAAACCTGCCAAGCCGAGGATGTGGGCCCAGAAGCCAAGGCTGCGCTCACTGCCGTCTCGGCCCAGGCCGCCCGCAAGCCCCTGATCGCAGGATAGGACCGCTACGAAGCCTCCGGAGACCGGGCAAAGGAAAGCGCCCGGCGCCACCCCGGATCTCGACCCCCAGGCCGCGGATGGCAGCGGATGGCAGCGGATTGGAACATCCCGCCCAAGGTTCTACTCACCGACACCAGCTACTCGAGCCTACGGCAGAAAGGAAGAAAGCCCACTTCCGCTAACCTTTCACCTCGGAGAGAGTGACCTCACATCCGGTCCCGCCCCGCAAGTTTCGCCCCACCTCTAGAAATCCTTTACGGGCGGAAGAAGCTCGGGCGGGGAGAGCAGTACTTGGATATTCATTTATTCAAATCAAACTTTATCAGTACTTCCACTAGAAGCAAAGAAGTCCTTCCTCCCGCGTAGGTGGGAAGAGCAAGGAAGGCTTTAAGGCGCGCAGACCTTTGGCTCCACTGCTCTGCCGCACCCCTTGGTTGCAGTTCCTTTTTCTGGCGCTAGAAGGGGACACAGTTTGAAATAGATTTTTATGACTTGAAAGAGAGAGCAAAAACAGGACTTGTATTAGTGTGCATTTTTGGCGTAAGGGGGGAGAGACGAAGATCAGTTAGGCAAAGGTGCTTACCCCCAATATTTAGAATCTAGTGATGTCACAGACATTACCGACTAGAATAAGCAGTGAGGAAGGTGAAGGATGATGGTGATAATCCCTGAGCACCTACTCTGTGCTAGGCTTTTTAGGTAGCCTAGCTTCACCAAATGATACAGGAGGTGACCCTGGAAGACTGTTTTTAGATGGTTCTTTACTTGTCTTCGGAGTTCAAGAGAAAGGGAAACCATCTTCCAGTTTTTCCTTTTCTGAACATGGAAGAATCTATAGAATTGGTCTTGGGCAAGATACGAGAAAAATCAGGGTTTCATCAATTCTCTTCTTAGCCTCTCCAGGGACCAGTTTTCCCTGCAGCCAACACCCCATGCCAGTGGTTTATCACAATAATTATGTATTTACATATCTATATTCAATTACAGTATTTTGTTTCGGAGCACCTGGGTGGCTCAGTCGGTTGAGCATCCGATTTCCTCTCAGGTCATGATCTCGAGGTTGGTGGGTTCAGCTCCCCATCGGGCTCTGCTCAGACAGCTCAGAGCCTGGACCCTACATTGGATTCTGTATCTCTCTCTCCGCGCTCCCCCCGCCCCCCACTTGTTCTCTCTGTCTCTCTCTCAAAAATAAACGTAAGCAGGGGCGCCTGGGTGGCTCAGTCGGTTAAGCGTCCGACTTCAGCTCAGGTCAGATCTCACGGTCCGTGAGTTTGAGCCCCGCGTCGGGCTCTGGGCTGATGGCTCAGAGCCTGGAGCCTGCTTCCGATTCTGTGTTCCCTCTCTCTCTGCTCCTCCCCCGTTCATGCTCTGTCTCTCTCTGTCTCAAAAATAAATAAAAAACCGTTAAAAAAATAAATAAACGTAAACAATTTTTTTTAAATAAAAAAAAAGATCTTTTGTTTCAAATCGGAAGATGACATTTTAGAATTGGAAGGGACCTCCAGAGATCATCTACTCTGGCCTCTAAGAGGACAGCTCTAGAGCAGCAAAGTCACAGAGATGGTGGTGCAAGAGCAAGTTCTCATTCCTGACCTGGTGCTCTTATTACACTACACCACCTTGTCCATTTCCACCTTCATGGTCTGCTCCCAGCCTGCTGCTGCCTCTTCTGCTGTATATCTTTTGGAAAATAGAAACCACAGCCGGAAATCTCATAATTGCCTTGGACTCTTCTCACAAACACTCTCCCAAATTAGTACTAAATCTTCTGAATTTTTCCTTGTCTTTTAAATCTTTTCTGTCCTTTTCCAGAAAAGGAAAATGTCCCTAAATGATCCAGCCTCAGATCTTTATCTTCTCCTCCTCAAACTTTTTTTTTTTTTTTTTTAATGTTTATTTTTGAGACAGAGAAACAGAGCACGAGCAGGGGAGGGGCAGAGAGAAAGGGAGACACAGAACCCGAAGCAGGCTCTGGGCTGTCAGCACAGGCCAGACGCGGGGCTCAAACTCACAAACCGCCAGATCATGACCTGAGCTGAAGTCAGATGCTTTAACTGACTGAGCCACCCAAGCGTCCCTCTTCCTCAAACTTTTATGTGGATCTGAATTGCTTGCTATGCTTATGAAAGATGGATTTCTAACCTAGGAGATAACAATTTCAGTCTGGAGTGGAGCCATATATGATCTATAGAGCTTATTTTGGGGAGCTTCCCTCAACATACCTCTTAAATTCCCCATTTTTGTGCTTGAAATCCTTCACTGGCTCTGTGTACCGAAGTTTAAACTCACCTTTCTTTTCTTGCAGCCTAAATTCCTTATTTTTCCACATCTTCACATAACCACTCCCTCCCCACCCCCCACCCCCAACTACTGAAATATCCAACCTTTTTAATTCCTGGGGTCTTTACTCAGGTGGGTCCATGTGTCTTTATTCTCCTCCACTGTAGCTAGGCAAAACCCTGTCCAAATCCATCCTTCAAGGCCACTCCAGAGTTCTCCCAGGCAGAATCAATCTCTTCCTTCTGTGCTCCCTCAGCAATCCAATCCATACTCATCTTTATTAGAGAACATCTTATTTGGTTTGGATCAATGGTTCTCAAAGTGTTGTCCCTAAAGCGGCTGCATCAGTCTGGGATGCTTAGAACCTTAGAACTGTGAATTTTCAGGACACACCCCAGAACTACGGAATAAAAATCTGTAGGATGGGACCCAGCAATTTTTAACAAGCCACCCAAATCCCCAATTTCCTTAGATTGTGTCTTTGTTGAGGGCAGGGAGTATGTTTTATTTCTCTCTTTCCTCAGTATCTACCCTGGCCCAGGCAGTTGGCAGGCATTCAAGGATGAATGAATGCAGAACGCCTTAGAAATCTTTTTTTCTAAGATTTTAAGTACCTCTACAGCCCACATGGGGCTTGAACCTATTACCCTGAGATAAAGAATTGCATGCTCTAGCAACTGAGCCAGGCAGTTGTCTCTACCTTTAAGAATGCTTTGCAAGGGTGCCTGGGTAGCTTGGTCAGTTAAGCATCCAACTCTTGGTTTCGGCTCAGGTCGAGATCTCATGGTTCAGGAGTTCAAGCCCTGCGTCAGGCTCTGTGCTGACAGCGCAGGGCCTGCTTGGAATTGTGTTTCTCCGCTCGCTTTGTCTCTCAAAATAAATAAACTTAAGAAATTAAAAAAAAAATGCTTTGCAGATCATACTTTTATAACAGTGCAGCCTGCACTTTCACGGATACATATCCATGATTCTTTTTCATCCTGTTCTTGCATAGGCTTAGACCTAGGCTGACTGTTCCCTTCTCTCCTCCCTTGTCCTGTGTGCCTCACCCCAAGCCAAGGACAGAGTTCTGTCCTAAGTAATAATGCAGATGATCAGTGACTAGCAGATATCTGACTGCTGGGATGCTGGCAGCATTGTCTCCATCTCTACATATTGTCTTTTTGTTTCATGAAGAACTCGACAGAACGGTGGCTGTCTGTCCATCTCCTGTGGCCTAGTCCCTTGGCAGCTGAAATTTCTGGTAGGTATGTGGGAAATACCTTCTCTTCCCCAAAGTGACGGTGGAGCGAGGGGGTGGATAAAGGAGAGAGAGGAAGAAAAGATCTAGAAGCAGCATGATACAATGAGGTAACATGATAGAATATAAAGACCATAGGATTTGGATTCGGGAAACTTGAGTACAAATCCCAGCTCTTCCATCACATACACCTGGACAAAATGTTTAACCTCAGTGTACTCGGCTATAAAATGGAGATAATATGGTCTTGTCTTAGAAGTAGTGAGGATTCAGTTAGGATGGCCTAAAACAGCTTCCCATGATGCTTGATACAAATTAGAATCAAAACCTTGATACAAATTAGTCTTTGTGAGGATTAGAAAAATACTGGGGTGGTTCAGGGCTGTGCCACATAGTCACGGCACTTATCATCCACCCTGGATGATATCTAGATAAATGGACTTAAAAGTGCCAGCTCCAAAAGTGGCAGGCAAGGTGAGATTTGCCGTGGGAACAGACTGCACGCCTGGGCGAGATGGGATGATAACATTTGGGAGAAAGAAACCACCACCAAAGTTGACCTGGTCCAGGATAGAGGGCCAAGAAGAGGCAGAAAGGCCAAGAGCCAGACGTTGCTCAAGAAAATACTGATCTGGATCGGATGGGCTAATAACGCACAGACTTATAAACCAAAGCCAAGAGTCTCCACGGTCTTTCAGAGAAGCTACATAAAATACTATGATTTTATTAGCAACCACAGATCTATCATTTTCCACATTTTACAATTATCCTGCTTCACACAGGATGACTAATTCTAATGAACTACCAATAATACATCTTAAATAACATGTTGTTGAAAAAAATTAAGTTAAAATGCACTATGTAATAGTGCAGACACAAAGTGCAGCTGGCAATTTAATACACGAAACAATGCTGAATCCGTAGGGTTGAGATCCCATTTGGTTTTCCAGAAAGGAATATACCTTGCCCATCTTTGGTCAGTCCTGAAGCAGTATGCAAGCTGAATGATAAATACGAACTAAAAAGGCTAAAATACTGAAGACCAAATAGGATCACTCTAGAGTCCATTTTACAAGGAAATGCTCAGTCCCTTGTCTGTCAACGGGGATCTGTAGTCCCTACCTCCGCTGCAGTACCTACATATGGCCAGACTGCCTCCATCATCCAGCCTCCGGGACAAGTGGACTCACAATCCTGGGGGGAGCTGCTGCTGGTCACTGAAGTGTGTTCCCATTCACACTTGACTCAGGGGCAAGGATTCTCTTGAGGAGGACAGCTCTAACATATTTACTTCTAAAAAGATTGTGTCTGCATCTTGTTGGGAGTTGTGTACGGGAAAGGTTATTTGCCAGAGGACATGGTACCAGCCAATGGTGGTCATTCCTCATAAATAACCAGCTCCAGAATCAAAAGAGCATCAATTGTGCCGCCACCTTGTCGGGAACAGATTTCAGTTCTTACCCCCCAAAAAGGGGCTCACACTGAGCCTAACAGTGGTTAACGAACTCCCTTAGAAATGCTGTTATCAGATATCCCCATTCCCAGTTTTAGAGGCAACTAAGGAATCTACAAGGCCTTCCCTGACCTTGGGGTCAGGAAGAAAACGGGTGTCTGTATTCATAAAGGGAATTTAAATTCCGGCCTTAGGACTCTCTTGAACCTGCTCCAAGTGAAGGAATACGGCTCCCAGCTTGGATGGCAAGAGCCTCAAGTGGAATGTCTTCCAGGACCGACAATTCACTCATGTTGTCACTCACCACCATAAAGAGAATGGTTAGAGTGACCTGGGTTTTGTAAAACTCAGACGTGGCACGATGCGGTGGTACATTCACTGTGTGCCACAGCTGATTTCTTTTACATAGGCTCTAACATATGTGCCCAGACGTTACATGCCGGGGCAGAACCTTTTAGCGGGAGGGTTTCCGGCATTTCTTTCTGATATGCTAAGTTGGAAAACAGACTTTGCAGTCATTTGGCAAGGGAAACTGTCTTTAAACCCCCCCTCTTGCTCTTTGTTTCTATCCTAGAAGACTAACCATCTGTTCCTACCCTACTGAGGAAGGTACTGGTGTGGGGCCAGGGCACTCTCCTCAAAAGGCATCTTTGATGTTCTTGAGCTGGCGCACGGCCAGGTCTACAGGGAGGCTGAACTTGAGGCTGCTGAGGCGACTGAGCAGGTTGAGGGCGCTCTCAAAGCCTGTGTGCGCCATGTAGCTCCAGGGCTGGTAGTGGGGCTCGATGAGTGACCCCGACTTGCAGATCAGGTTCACCCAGGACACGAGCCGCTGCTCATTGAGTGCCATGCACACCAAGGCCTTGAGCTCTGAGTCTGCGCTGCGCTTAAAAGGGTCGTGCTCCGTCAACACCATGTGGATGGCGGTCAGTAAGCTCTGCTTGGGGGTCACCACAGTGCCTCCCATAACCGGCAGGGCAAAGGACTGGGAGAGCTTCCGTGCGGGGGATTCCACATAAGCACGGCCGTTCTTAGCATGGTAGTACTTTACAAAGAGCTCCCACGGGTGCATGGCCTCGGGAGCTGAGGAGAAGGCTGGCAGCAAACAAGCAATGGGGGCCATGACAAGGCTCATCCCCGGTGAGGAGGCGTAGAGTCCATGGGCCAGCAGGTCCCTTACAGCCACTGTCAGCTCCTTCCGCACAGCAGTGGTCAGCTCGTCCTTGCCTCCCAGAGAGAGGTCCTGGAGGTTGGCGGAGGTGATGACGTGGTCGTGCGGCTGGTGCCTCAGGGCGAGTTGCTTCACTCTGTCTACTGATACCTCCAGCCTCTTCAGTAAGGGGGAGTAGTCCCTGTCAGCCTGGCTTCTCTGCCACAGGGTTTGTGGGATCTGGCCCGTGGCGCAACCAAACTGGCTAACGGCAAAGATCTGGAGCACTGCGAGTGCACGCCGCATGAGGTGCAGCCCCGTCTCCTGAACCTTCTTCACGTCTTCTGCCTTTGCTGTTCAGAAAATGCAACGACTCATCAGTTAGGGCCATGCTGGCACAGAGGTACATTCAACAAGTCACGGGCTGGGATCCGGTCCTGCTTCTGAGCTACAGTACACGTCCCACAGGAAGCCAAGAGCCACCTAGGATGTTGCTGGACCTAACTGTTTTGGGTTAATGATAGCTGTTACTGTGATTCCCACACCAAATAATCCGCCCACTTAAAGTGTATAATTCAGTGATTTTTAGTATATTTACAGAGCTATGCACCCATCATCCCCAAAAGGATCCCTGTACCGTTAGCATTTCCCATTCCCACTTCTCCCCAGCCCCTTAAGCCCTAGGTAACTGCTAATCTACTTCCTACCTTTCTGGATTCGCCTACTCTGGAAGCTGTACTTACTTTTGCTGTTTCCTGGAGGCAGTCTGCCGCTGTCAGTCCTGGTGGAGCCACTTCCTGTCTTCCCACTGGCCTTGCACTCACAGTGTGCACTGTCTGCCTGCAGTGGGCTTCCCACTTCATCTGTAAGCAGGAGTTACAAAGAGGAGGAAAATGAATATTTACTAGTGCCTACCAAATGTAAGACTTTTACAAACAACGTCTGATTTGTGTGGCACAGTGACTGGCTCAATAAATATTTGCTGAATGAAGGAAGCGTGAATCATCATTTCAGGGGTGAGGAGAGTGGGACTAAACAGGTTAGGAACCTCCCCAAGGACCCAAGGCTAGGAAGTGGCAGAACTGGGATCTGAACTATCTGGTTCTAAAATCCATCTTCTTGGGGCATCTGGCTGGCTCAGTTGGAGGAGCGTGTGACTCTTGATCTTAGGGGTGTGAGTTTGAGCCCTACACTGGGTGTAGAGATTACTTAAAGATAAAATCTTAAAAAAAAAATAAATCCACGTTCTTTCTATTCTACCGTGCTGGCTCCCTCACTACACAGTGATCAAAACCTCCTACACAGTAAATGAAGAACGGGCACCTTTAGGAACCAGTACTTGGATTACATATAATTATTATGACATCTGTCCACCCTGCTCTTCCCATCCCTTCCTCTGACCTTGGATGAAGCTGATGAACATCTCGAGGTCTCGGATCTGAGTCTTCAGCTGCTCAACCAACTGTTCTTTCACTCGGGCTGGGTTGACAATCTGAGCCACAGCTGCATCCACACGCTGCCGCAGCTCCTCAGTGGACAGTGAACTGATGTCCTCATTTAGATTCATGTCCAGTTTCTTTATTAGTTCATCTATGATCACCTATCAAGACCACAAACAATGGGCACACCCTTTAGAATTTTCAAGGAGAGGGCTTGAAAAGGGAGTTATTTGCTGGAGTGCTTCCTACCTTTAAATGGAAATCAACGACAGACAGAACTCCCAAACCTGGGAGAGGACACGATGCGACTGCTGATCAAGGTGAGAGCATAGAGCTCCTTCTCCTACAGTAACAAGGACCCTTGGTTCCTCTCAGACAGAAATGGCTCCTCTCACTGCACATTCTCTACCAGGCCAGGCAACTTTCAGGAGAATAACAGTGTGAATAATCCAAAGTGGTTGATAGTCCAAAAAGCCTCATAGTTAGCTTTCCCCAAAGCCTCCAAGAGAATACATATGGATTTCCTTTAGTTTCTAGTTCTCCTCATCCCTTCTTGCCCTACTCAAGGCAACTAAAAGAAAAAAAAAATCTCTACTAAACATCAAAGTGCATTAGAGCCAAAATGCCCTAGTGACAATATTTGGAACAGTTTGAAATCCAGTTAATGTAACTCCAGCCAAGCCAGAGAAACAGCCACATCACGGTGAGAGACAAACATGTTTGTAGGGGAGGCTGTAGCTGTATTTCTGCCAGAGATTTACCTGCCTACCCAGGTGTTGCTTAAATAAATATGGCGTTAAAACCAGTCTGGATTCCTGGAATACTTATCAACTGGTAGTGGGGAAAAGCTAATTTACACTGGAGGAGGTGCCCAAGTAGAACTGTTTTAATGATCAAATGAAAAACTATTTAAAAAAAAATTGTTTTTTTAACGTTTATTCATTTTTGAGAGACAGAGAGAGACAGAGCACAAGCAGGGAAGGGGCAGAGAGAGGGAGACACAGAATCTGAAACAGGGTCCAGGCTCTGAGCTGTGAGCACAGAGCCCGAGGCGGGGCTCGAACTCACAAACTGCGAGATCCTGACCTGAGCCGAAGTCGGACACTCAACCGACTGAGCCACACGGGCGCCCCAAAACGATTATTATTATATATCACTACTATTAGTATAACCACCAAAAAGAGCTCAGTTAACATATTATAAAGCTTTGGAATTTGTGTTTCCATGTGTGAATGAAGACTTGTCCCATTTCCCTTTGATTTGGGCCAGCAAAGAGATTCTCAGTAAGACCAAGGGTGAACGAGCTAGGAAAGAATGTCCTGTGAACACAGGAAGGGACAAGGTAGCCTTAGGTAGTGGTGGGCGCCTCTCTGGTGTCTGCTCACCCGCTGTCTTTCCAAGACCACGGACTGTGGCAGGGAGTCGTAACTGCCCTCTTGATAGGCAAATGTTTCCAGGTCATCCAGCTGGGTTTTGAGCTGCAGTATAAGTTCTTTCTGCTTCTCCCTTTGGGTTTCCAGACGTTCCCGTTTCTCCTGCTCACTCTAAGACAAGAAAATACTTAGGTCTATTTCATAGGAAAAGGAAAAATCAGGGCACAAGGGCACATTAAGAATCCTCACAAGCTAACCATGACTACTGAAACAAAGTGTTTCCAAATAATCCCAAGGAAATACAGAATTCATACATAGGTTCAAAAATGAGAATAACGATTTCATCCAGGGTAATTTATTAAATGTGTTTTCTTTAAAAAGGTATTTGTCCCTCATTGGAAACAGAATATGAATACAATGAGGCCTTTTGTTAAGACAGCCTTCCCACCTCCTGCACAAAGGCCTAGTTAGGATAGAGACAATTTATCTTAGACAAGACAGCCCCCCAGGAATTAAACATGCCATCCTCCACAGCCAATTACCACAGATCAACTCCTGAATACTTTCTGCGGCCAAATTTTGCAAGAGAATCTAGAGATAAGGGTGTAGAGGAAAGATTTATAATTCATAATCAGTTTTCTTTATTCTTATTTTTTAAAGATTTTAGTTTTCAATAATCTCTACATCCAAAGGGGCTCAAACTCACAACCCTGAGATCAAGAGTTGCATACTCTATCGACTGAACCAGCCAAGCACCCCTCATAACCAGTTTTCTTAAGATTCAAAGCCCCTCCAACGTATTACAGATGTTCGCACAATCAAAAGAATTAAAGCAGGTGCCTGGGGCAGTGAAAAATAAAATCCAAAAGCCAAGCAACAGGGGTGGGAAGGTAACCATGTTAAAAAAGAAAGAAAGAAAAAAAAAAAAAAAGTCTGGTAAGTTTCCCTGACCAGTGACTCCTTTCTCCATTGTTGGCCACCAGGCAGATTCTGCATTTAAATGATGAAAAATCCTTCAGGGTGGTGAAGTCTTGCCAATGTATTCTCAAATACTAGTTCTTCCTTAACTTTCTTGATTATCAAAAACAAAACAAACCAAAACTAGCAAGTCAGGTGCAGGTATAAGGCTGCATTTTCAACCAGCAGTCTATAGGACATTAAATTTAACCTTCAAATGGAACTTACCAAGCCCTCCAAAAGATCTGAGACAGGACAAATGAAAAACAATGAATTAACTTTTTGTTCAAGCTCTTTAAAAAGCAATCCTTTTGCTTTACTCAACATGACAGCAAGCCTTTTCTCAGGACACTTCCTCTCCAAACCTTTCTGAGTATTGGCATTTCTTAGAACCTTGTTCCCATCCCCTGCTGAGTGAGGGCCTAGCTATCCTTCTGGTTTCCTGGATCTCCCGGGGCAGAGCTGATCATTTCTCACTCTATGCTGTGTACACACTTCTCTAGCTCATGTCACATTATAATCTTTGTTGAGGATTCTGTCTCCCCCAGTCTATGAACTCCTTAAGGGCAAAGGCCTTGACTTTGTACCCCTGTTGCCTAGCATGGTGTTTGGCACAGGATAAACTCTCAATACACATTTGCTGTATGTTACTGAACTAAAACAGGTACAGAATGACACATTCCAAACAATGAGCTCTGACTGGAGGAAGCTGTCTAGCCAGCCCAAGGAGAAAGTACAGGGAAGCTCTGTTTTTGTTTTCACTGTATCCTAACTTCATTAAGCCAAGGAAGAAGAAGAAAAAAAAAACCAGCCATGAATCCTGATTCTGTTTTCACGAGTATGTCTGCCGAACTCTGTTTCCTGCCATGGCACCATGGCAGTTACAGCATGTTATTTGTTGGAATGTGGGCAAACAAGTGTAATAGAGAAAAACGAGCTCTGGTTCAAGGCAGAAAATAATGGAAATGATTTCCAGTAGGAAGTGAGAGGAAATACTGGTTTAAAAAAATCTGGAACAAGAAGTAAATCATCTGGTTCAAACATGTCCCCCCACTTAGATATTTTATGTAATCTTCTGTGCATTCATTAACGCATAAACAGGTGGTACCAAAGTGGTATTTTCAGCACCGCTTTTTTTCCTAATTTTTACTTATTTATTTTGAGAGAGAGCATGTGCAGGGGAGGGGCAGAGAGAGAGAGAGAGAGAGAGAGAGAGAGAATCCCAAGCATGCTCTGTGCTGTCAGTGCAGAGCCTGACGTGGGACTTGATCTCACCAACCATGGCATCATGACCTGAGCAGAAATCAAGAGTCAGACACTTAACCGACTGAGCCACCCAGGCGCCCGGTGAGCACCACTTTTTTTTTTTTTTTTTTAAAGTTGTACTCTGCTTCTGAAAGAGAAAATGAACAACCAAAAGAGCACCACATCCACACAGAAACTCTGATGCTTCTTGCTCCTGAACAAGGGCCTGGTTACAGTAATCCTTTCTACTCCTTAAAAGTCTGGCAATTTGAGGTGGCTGCTCCTTGTGCCAGGAGCTGCGGGTATATGGAGAGGAGGGTGGAACAGCAAACACAGGATTGCACTGGAAACATTTCAGGTTAAAATAAGCAAGTCAGTATCTGCTACTGATAAGCCTTGGTTAAACCCAATTTAAGTGGGAAGAAAGCCACGTATAGGTAGTAACTTGAAGAATGAAAATGTGGAGAAGACGGCCAAGTCTCTTCAACACCTCCAATAAGCTATCTGCAACTGTGCACTTTCAGAGATTCAAAGACTGTTAAGGAAATGGCATTGGCATACAGACTCCCATTACTCAGTGGAGGCTAACTGAACAGATCCTGTCACAGCTACCAAAGGGGCTTCTTATATAATACCTAGTTATTAGGCAGGATGGGCAAGGAGGTTTAAAATTCCAGCTGTAGGAAAGGCTATCATCAGGAGTTGTGTTTTTTTTCATTTTCTAAGTGATCCTGCTGTTCAACAAAGCTTCTGCCCCCACAAAAGCCTAAAGATTAAAGACGTTTTCTAGATTCCAGGAAAGTGGGAACGGGCAGGAGGTCTAAATTTCCATGGATTCCAATTCACTTACCCTTCATTAGCCAATGTTCTCAGCCCCAGGTCGGGGTACTCTATCAACAAATGTGCTCGGGCGTTGGGTACTTTATGAGGCCACGGCAAGGTGAGGGGGAGCGGCACTGCTTTGGTTGGTTGCCCTGTTGCCCTTTGAATACTCTTTGCTCACCACTCTTCTGTCCCGCACGTCACCACACCGGCATCTCTTTCCACACCCTAGGTGGACACCCCTCACAATGAGGTTCCCAGGCCTCGGGGTCCTCCTGCCCTTCAGCAAACCTCGCACACCTGTCTTATCTCCTCGTCTCCAACGCGCGAAGTACTCACCGAGACCAGCCGGCTTCTCACCGCTGCTATCTTGGTCCGCGTCAGCATCGCCACCCACCCAACCCCCTATGCCCCTGTCCCTCGGGGTCTGGCCCAGATGCTCACCTGGTTCTCGCCCCGCAATCGTGGCCGGTCCCCTGGCAACCCATCGCCATCGTCGCTGGCGGGGTCCTCGGACCCCCCATAACCCAGGACGTGCGGGCAACCGCGGAAAGCGAAGTCCTCGAGCTCGCGCAGGAGGCGCTGCTGCTCCGCGGGCGCACCGCGCACCACCTGGCGCAGGCGGAACTGCACTTGCGCGAAGTGCGAGGACAGCGCAAGCAGCGCCGAGTCCAGCCGCCGCCGCTCAGCCCGCAGCCGCCGCAGCGTCCGGCCGGGCGAGTCGGGAGGGGAGCCCGGGGCCGCGCCTGGCTCCTCGGCTGCCGCCTCTTCCGAGAACGCAGCTGTCCCAGGCCCGGCCTCCGCCACTGCCCCCACCGGGGCCCAGCGCACCGCCTCGCAAGGTGGCGGCGACTCCTCTTCCTCTTCCTCTTCGTCCTTCGCCTTTGGACCAACGGCAGCTACCACCGTTACCGGCTCCGCGGACGCTTCGACAGCCGCCATCTTCCCGGAAACGCCGCCGCACGTCAGCCGCGCCCCCTCACTGCCATGGCAACGGCGCGCTGTCTGGGAAACCCGCAGGAGCGGGTGGGCGGGGCACATACGTCAGACAGTTTATCGTCACCTGGGGCGGGCCTTCCCAGGGGATTCAACTGGGGCTGATAATTTTTTGTTGAGCGCCTATCGTGAATCAGACACTGAGTGCCCTGAGCGTTGGAGAAACGAGTGAATGAAGCCAGGAGCAAGTTATTCGGTGTGCACGTTATCTAGTGTGGCTCTTGCCCTGGTCCCCGTGGGTGGGTGGTCTATTCCTAACCTGAACATTTCTGGAGACCCAGAGATGTGAAGGACTGCTGGGATTATGCTCTCCCAGAGTCTCTCTGGAGTGCAGATCCCTTGGCTGTGTGGCCACATCCCCCCTTCCTCTAAGGCCTTCCCCGACCATATAAGGAGAGGCAGCTGCTGGGGGCGTCCCCAGTATCTAAAGATAGCGGTCTCTGCTTCGGACTCCAAACGCCACCGGGTAGCAGGAGCCGCCATGGCAAGGTGAGTGTTTCCAGTCGCCCTTTTCCCTGGAGATTCCTTGTCCCACCATTTTCTGGGCGCTCTGGGCCCTGCGAGGTCCCATGGAAACCCCAGACTCCGGGTCTCTGTAACTTTCGGGTGGTGAGGGAAGTGACCTGGATGTTCTCCATAACTCCCTACCTCTCAACTTTCGCACTCTCGATTCTCCCCAGGTTCACCCTCCCCGCTCCTCCCCACTCCCATCACGCCCCTTTCACTTCCTTCTGTCTCACTTAGCTCCACTTTGACAGGGCCATGGCATAAAACGTCCCTAACCCCCCCCCCCCTTCCCCAATGCCCCCTGTCTTCCCTCTGCCACTCCTATGAAGCCCCACGGCAACTCCTCTTCAGGCAGCATGCCAGGACGCTGTGGTATGACAGGCCCAAATATGTGTTCATGGAGTTTTGTGTTGAGGATAGCACCGATGTCCACGTGCTCATCGAAGACCACCGCATTGTGTTCAGGTAATGGCCCTCCTCTCTGGAGGACCTGGTTTCCAGGAACCTTTCCTTTCTCCTAATGCGCCCATGCTCAGCCTGCCGCATTTCCTCAGCTGCATTGTCTCCTCAGCTGCAAGAATGCGGATGGAGTGGAGTTGTACAATGAGATTGAGTTCTATGCTAAGGTGAACTCCAAGGTAAGGGTGGGACAGGACAGTAAGGTCTGGATGGAAAGGCTGCTTGGGAAATTGGAGATTCATTCTACACCTCAGATCCTAACAATGAGGCTGTCTATCTGGTAGGACTCCCAGGATAAACGCTCCGGTCGTTCCATCACTTGTTTTGTGAGGAAATGGAAGGAGAAGGTGGCCTGGCCTCGACTCACCAAAGAGGATATCAAAGTAGGTGTGTGGGGAATGGCCTGCTCTTTCTCCTCTGCTCTCTGTGTACCTGCGGACATAGATCTGGGAATCACCCTTGGCTCCTTTCCCACCAACATTCAGTCACTCACAAGGTCCTACTTGACTTCCTAAATATTCTTGAGTCTGTTACTTTGTCTCTTCTAATTCAGGCCTCATCCATCACTGGGTGAGGTTTATTGCATATTTTCAGTCCTACCCTCAATCCATCCTTTGTACTGCTCCCAGCATGGCCTATCTAAAACACGCATTTGAGGGGCGCCTGGGTGGCGCAGTCGGTTAAGCGTCCGACTTCAGCCAGGTCATGATCTCGCGGTCCGTGAATTTGAGCCCCGCGTCGGGCTCTGGGCTGATGGCTCGGAGCCTGGAGCCTGTTTCCGATTCTGTGTCTCCCTCTCTCTCTGCCCCTCCCCCGTTCATGCTCTGTCTCTCTCTGTCCCAAAAATAAATAAAAAACGTTGAAAAAAAAATTTAAAACATGCATTTGAACAGTACCTGGCTGGCTCAGTCGGCCCAGCATGCGTCTCTTGATCTCAGGGTTGTGAGTTTGAGGCCCATGTTGGGTATAGAGATTACTTAAAAGTAAAATCTTTGAAAAAAAAAAAAAAAGAAGAAGAAAATGGAGATTCTGATCACACTGGCCTAAATTCCCAAATGCCAGGGGCACCTGACCGGTCCAGTTGGTAGAGCATGCGACTGTTGATCTTGGGGCTGTGAATTCAAGCCCCATACTGGATGTAGAGAATTACTTCATAAATAAATAAATTCCCAAATGGAGCTTTAAATGGAGCATGTGCACCGCACTTTACTCCTTTTCAGTAGCACCCTCTTTCAGGCATTTGAACTTGTCACTTCTGCTCTTTGGGAACTTGTCACTTCTGCTCTTTGGGTTGAAATCCAAGGACCACAGCGTGACATATAAGCTATTCCTCCCTTCTGGAGCATCATATCCCATTAGTCTCTGCCCTAAACTTTACATTCTAGCCATAGCAAATGTCTTGCAACTCTTTTGCACACACCAGGCTATTTCTCATTACTTTACCTTTGCTCATGCTGTGCCTTCTTCCTGGAAAGCCATCATCACTACCTGTGCCCACCTAACCCTTGCACATCCTTTAAGTCTCTGCTACTCTAAGAAGCCTGGGCTCCTATAGTTCCTTTCTGTGTTTCCGTAATATCCCTTGCGTAAGCCACCACCACCCTTTCCACGCTGTTATTATTATAATGATTTATTTAAATTTCCCTTCCCCACTTGCTTTATGATGGCTGGGACTATATATATTAAACATTTTCTTGAATTAATTTTGTTAACATTTATTTATTTTTGATGAGAGGGAGAGAAAGAGAGAGAATGAGTAGGGGAGGGACAGAGAGAGAGGAAGACAGAGAATCCAAAGCAGGCTCTGCATTGTCATTGCAAAGCCCAACATGGGGCTCAAACCCACAAACTGTGAGATCATGACCTGAGCTGACGTCGGACGCTCAGCCAACTGAGCCACCCAGGTGCCCCTCTGTTAAACCTTTTAGAATCGCAATGCCAAGTTCAGAGTCTGGCCCATAGTACGTGTTCAATAAATAGCTGTTAAAATCAATGAGTGAGTAACTTCTTGTTTATAAGAACTTAGAACACAGGCCTCCAAGGGTTATCTCCAACTCCAGGGGATGCAGCTTGTCTGTCTTGCTTGGTTGATTCCTATAGTATTTTATGACACACTTATCTTTCTAGAGGTATTATACCTCTATTCAGTCAGCTTCTGGAGGGCCAAATTTCTATGCTTTTCCATCTCCTACAATGCCTGGCATTGTGCATCACACTTAGATTCCTGGCAAATCTTTGCGGATGATGATGATGGCATCCTGGAAAGGGGCTAGTCAAAGAAGTGCTGTGGGGAAGGAAGACTGTACCCCCAATGGCCTTCTTTGCCCCTAAGCATGCCCCTGTGCACACGGCCATGTTCTTCTGTGCACTTGTGATGCTCTATACTTTCCTCTTGCAGCCGGTGTGGTTGTCTGTGGACTTTGATAACTGGAGAGACTGGGAGGGGGATGAAGAGGTGGAGCTGGCTCAGGTGGAACACTATGCAGAGGTAATGCCATTTTCTGCCCATCTTGATCATTCTCTGTGTCTCTGCTCATACGGAGGACTGTCATCAGGGCTAGACAGAGATAGATGAGCTTGTCTCATTCGTGCTCATATTGTTTACATATTTTGTGCGATGTTTATTTAGGAGGGATGGGAGAAATGAATATTAGTGAAACTGTACACTTGGATTCATGCATTAGTCACAGAATTCTGAAAAAGTGTGGCAAAGCCTTTACCAACTTTTCTGTCATTCTGTCATTCTATTTTCTGTGTGTGTGTGTGTGTGTGTGTGTGTGTGTGTGTGTGTGTGTGTGTGTTTCCTGAGCCAGACAACTTCATGGGAAGCTCAAACGAAGCAGTATAAAAATTTACATCATAAAACAAATAAATTGCGCCCTGCCATATATTGTTTGGTTTTAGAATTTCAGCTACTATTTATTCAAGTTGCCAAAATACTAACAGACTGTAACCTGCATTAGTAAGAAGGATGCTGTGTGTGTGTTTCAACATCCTTTTAAAAAGGGGATCAATTCACTTTTCTCCAGTTCATTCCAGTGATGTGTTAGGGGCTGTACAGATAAGGCAGTTGTCTGGCTGGGACCATTCTCCTGTGGTCCATCAACATACAGGTTGCTCTTCCCTTGCCCTTCTTTTCTGTTGTAATCATTTTTTTCTTCCTACTAGCTTTTGAAGAAGGTCAGCGTCAAGAGACCTCCCCCTGGCATGGATGACCTGGATGTGAGTAAAGCCTGCCTTTCAACCCTTTGGTTTCCTTTTAGCCCTAAAAAATAAGATACTAGAAAGCTCTTGTTATGGTCCTTGGCACACCATAGTTTTCTCAGTGCATGTCAGCCAAATTTGGATTTGACACAGGAGGTTGAATATTCTTCTCCAGGCTGTAGAAAACCCCAGCAAGACCCTCCTCCCTCCCATCTCCCCTCTACTTCTCCATCCTAGAGCAGACCTGGCCCTGTTGACTGCATTCACAGTTGTAAGGAGCAGTGGCCTGAATTGAAATTCTGAAACCATGTGATGGTTGACACAGTGTTGTTAATTGAGTGCCAGTGGTTTATTTTATTTTTGAAAGTATAAATCCTTCTGTCAGCCTACCAGGAAGTGGTATGATTTAGAAAATCACAAAAGAAAACTTGGTGAGCGGGAGGGAGTGAGTAGAGTTTGTGAACACAAACGTTCACTCTTTGTAGATCCTACGGCGCTTTTGTCTTTTTTTCTTTCCCTAGGATGATTCTGACAGTGCTGATGCAACAAATAATTAACTTCTGTGACGACAGAGCTGGGGAGGAAGCTGGGGCATCTTCCAGTCGCTCTGAAAAGCTAGGGCCGGGGTCTTTGCCAGCTCTTAGCTGTGGGGTCTCCCGGATCTCTGAACTTTCCTAGAAACTCTTTTTACATGTCCTTTTATGTTTTATTTCTTTTTTCCTAGGCACTTGAGTATGGCTCCATCAGATGGCAGGATAGGAGAGTAGACTGGTGGGGCTCCTGACTTCCTACCAATTGGCTATAATCTTTGTGCTTGGGCCACTCATCACGGCTCTCTTGAGTATTCGAGCATGTGTGTGTGGTAGAGCAAAAGCCAAAGAAGCAGCATATAGATTATAATAAATCTGTAAGAACAATTCTCTGTCTCCTTTCTTCTTGCACCTCTTCCTCCTGGAGGCAAACCTCTTCTACCTTTATTGTTCCTCTCAAGGGGTGGGGTGGGCGTTGCAGATCCTGGTCCTCACTGTTGAGATTGGAAACAGAAAGATCTTGGGAGTAGGCTTGTAACCTACATGGGACTTCCCCATGCCTACATCAATGCTTATGTCTCAGACCAGACACCAGCCTTTCTCTATACCCCTAGAACCATGTAAATTCTGCCACCCCTAGAACTAGCCAGAAACCCACCTCAGCTTCCTGCATAATCCAGAAATTTCTTTGCACTTTAATAGCTAATTGTTACATTAGTTAATGCCTATATCTGTTTGCTCTTCCATCCATTATCTACCCCATTCATCCACAAACATTTTTTTGAGTGCCTAATGTGTACTTAAACTGTGACTCAGACAAAATGCCGTACCCACACTTTGCCCTTGAACTCATGGTAAAGTACTGAGATTTGTTTAAAAAATTAAACTTCAAAAGTTTATGTCAATCATATATAGATACAGTTTAAAAATTAAAATAGTATAGAAGGGTATAAAATTTAAAGTTGAATTGGTACTCCTTAAGAGAGGTAACTACTGTTAATAGTTTCTCTGATAAATTGATATATCTGTATATGTATATACACTGTACACATAACTTGCATTAATACTTATAGCTTATGTAATCATATTGTATTATATAGTTAGCTGATATATAAAACAATACATATGAAGCAAACATACAGTTACTTACATATAGGATAAAATATATTAAATCTTGGGGCACCTGGGTGGCTCAGTTGGTTAAGCAACTGACTTCCGCTCAGGTCACGATCTCACGGTTTGTGGGTTCGAGCCCCACATTGGGCTCTGTGCCGACAGCTCAGAGCCTGGAGCCTGCTTTGGATTCTGTGTCTCCCTCTCTCTCTGCCCCTCCCCCACTTGTGCTCTGTCTTTCTCTCTCTCTCTCTCTCTCTCAAAAATAAATAAAATATAAAAAAATTTTTTTTAACTTAATAGACCTATAAGCAAATGCAGTGTGTGTACACAATTGAAATCATACTATGTACATTTAAACCCGGCTTGTTTAAACTTAATATATATTGGGGCTGTTTCCAAGTTGGTGTATATAGATCTAACTATTTTTCATGGCTACATGGTATTCAACTAAATATACTTTCCACAATGTAACTGATTCCTCACTGAGGGACATTTAGGTTGTTGTTAGTCTTTTTCAGTTTTCAAACAATGCTGCAACAAGGATTCAAAAATAGATCTTTATATGTTTGGCAAGAATATCTGTAGGGTAAATTCCTAGAAGTGGAATTGCTAGGTCAAAGAGTAGTAGATACATTTAAACGTTTTGAATTTTTTTTTTCAACGTTTATTTATTTTTGGGACAGAGAGAGACAGAGCATGAACGGGGGAGGGACAGAGAGAGAGGGAGACACAGAATCGGAAACAGGCTCCAGGCTCTGAGCCATCACCCCAGAGCCTGACGCGGGGCTCGAACTCCCGTACCGCGAGATCGTGACCTGGCTGAAGTCGGACGCTTAACCGACTGCGCCACCCACATGCCCCTTAAACGTTTTGATAGCTGTTGCCCAAGTTGCTCCTAGCTAAACTGGACCCATTCCTGCTCCCACCAACAGAGTGGTCCGTTCTTCAAAACCTTTTAGATACAAAGATAAAAAAAATTGTACTTGACTTAATTTACTTTTAATTATAATTTTGTTCGTTGTTTATTTTTATTAGTGATTGGTATCTCTTTTAAGGTGCTCTGTCCATACCTTTTGCCCATTTTGCTATTGACATTACTTCTTAAGCTTTTTAAAAAGTCTGATAATACAAAGTTGTACTTGTATCATGCTGTACAATTTACTAAGTCTTTATATATTATCTTAATACAAATTTTGAACCTCATATCAACCTTATAATTAGGTTTTCTTCATAGGTGATTGAACGGGTAACAATAGGTGGCAGAGTTGGGACTTGAACTTGTATAGCATATGTCCCTCCCTTATCCACAATTCTGAAAACCGAGAAAAAATCTGAAAACCCATTTAAAAAAATTGGCAGCAAAACTCATTTGACAGCAAAACCTGACCTAAAATGATGTGAAGCTATTTATAGTATTCGTTTATTCTATTTAGTGCATTTATTTCTCAGCATAAATAGTAATGCTTTGGATGACATGGTGTTGCTCCAGAATTTCAAATGGAACACATGGGGGTTCATAACACATACATACATTCACATACAAAACACATGGTGGGTATGCTCTGCATTACTGCCTAAAATCTGAAAAAATCCTAAATTCTGATACACCTGGCGTCTTCAAGCTTTTTATTATTTGCTTTAAGAAAGCAGGAAGTTAATTCTAACATTTAATCTGTTTAACGTTTTAAGGCGCTGATTACAGTTTGTTAATTTCTGTTAGCCTTTCTTTTCTACACTGTCCAGTTAGGTAACACTAGTCACATGTGGTTATTGAGTGCATGTGATTATGGAGTACCGAGATGTGGCTAGTGCAAGCTGAGATGTGCTATAAGCATAAATACACATCAGCTTTTGAAAATTTTGTGCAGAAAAAAAATCTCACTTAATTTTACACTTATTAAATGACATAATATTCTGGATCTGTTGGTTTCAATGAAACATTAGCGTATATGGCTTGCACTAATTTCTATTGGGCAGCAGTGCCCTGTATCCATGTCAGTACCCCTCGCCCCAACCTCGTCTTTCCCCAGCCGAGACTGCGGGAGGCTGAACTAAGTGCCTTGACAAGTCCCGGCCGAGCGCAGTTTTATTTTGTTTTCAGGTCCTTCCAAAGTCTTCAAACAGTTGCTAGGCGCCCCGGAACGTCTGCAAATCGCGTTTTCGGTAAATTTGTCCAAGCCACACCCCGTCCCTTGTCCTCGTGCTTCTGCGCGGAGACGCGCTCTCAGTGAAGATTGTCCCGCAGGGCTCTCCGTCCGCCCGCGGGCCGTCCAGTGTGCGCGGGTTCCCGCGTTCTCCGCGTCCCGGGAGACAGCGGCGATGGCGTTCCGGTGTCAGCGGGACAGCTATGCCCGCGAGGTGCGGCCGGCTGGGCGAGGCACCTGCAGCTGCCGGGCGGATGGGGCGGTGCGGGAAGATGGAGCCGCGTGCAGGGGCTGCGGGGAGAGACTCAGTCCCGGTGTCTTGAGGGCTGGGGTCCGCCTTATTCTGTGTCCCTCTCTGTGCAGTTCACCACCACCGTGGTCTCCTGCCGTCCCGCGGAGCTACAGACCGAAGGAAGCAACGGCAAGAAGGAAGTGCTGAGTGGCTTCCAAGTGGTGCTGGAAGACACGCTGCTTTTCCCCGAGGGCGGGGGACAGGTACCAGGCCCGCGCCTCACCCCGACCCGCTCCCAGGAAGCCCCTCATTCCTTTCTGCTCAGGAAATGCCCTCTTGCTCCTCTGCCCCAGCCGTGATGAATACAGATGGAAGTTAGTTCAATTCAGCTCGTTTGTTCATTCAACAGATACTTACCAACGCATACTTACTGGGTCATAACATATCCTGGGTACTTACTCCAGGTTCTGAGGATAAGGGGTGAACAAGACAGTATCTCTACATACAGAGAATATTTATCGGAGAAGACAGACAAAATGGTGAATAGATAAAATAGAGGGCTTGGTTTGGTAAGTGCTCTAAAGAAAATTAAAGGTTGAGGGAAAGACAGTCATGGGATGTTCTCCTAAGTAGGGGGGAAGTTATTTCAGTACAGACCTAAGTGAAGGGAGTGGGTAAACCATTGCAGTTACCTAATGGTGTTTGTGGGAAAGGAGCACGTATTCCAGGCAGCGAGAAAACAAGTGCAAAGGAATTAGGAATTAGCTTAGGGTGTTTGACAGGGACTGGAAATGCTCCCCTTGAGGGAGCACAACAGAGGACAGGCTTATTTGTGCTGTGATGGGATAGGGACAAGGTCCAACATGAACTGGAGAAAGGAGAGTAATAACAGCAAAAAGGTGGGCGTTATGGGAGAGGCTTTTTCCAGCAGGGATAATAGCACAGACAAAGGCAGGGAAGGCTGAAGGAATCCGACAAGTCTAGTTAAAGGCAAGTAGTCTAATACAGTTGGAGCCTATGGTGTGTGTTGATGACAGGCTGGAGGTGACCTTGGAAAGGTCAGTTGGGGTCAGTTCAGAGGAACTTGAAGGATGTGTTAAGGTGTGTGGACTTCATCCAAGAAGCTGTGGTGAACCATGAAGTACTTAGGCAAAGAAGTGAAACGAGAGAACATGGTCAGTAAACTTGATAGCGAGAAAGTTCCAATTTCATATCAGCGTCATTATTACAGGAGGTTTTCTGCTGAAGGAAGACCTGTAACCTCAGGCAACTATAGAAAGACTCATTGTATACGTTTCTTCCCTAATTCCTTGAGACTATTAGGTCTTTTTCCTGTGACCTTCTCTAGAACAGTGTACTTTTTTACATTATAGCGTGTTGTAGATCATATTGCAGTGACCCGTGTGTGTGTGTCTGTATTTTTTTTCCAGACGCTTAAGATCCATGAGGGGCTTTGTCTTGTTTATATTGTATTCTGGGGTCATGGCCAGATCTTGTAAGCAGGTGGCACTAGATATTTTTTTAAGTGAATGAATGTTTTTGTTCTTTATTTTTTTTAAAGTAATCTCTACACCCAACATGGAGCTCGAACTCATGACCTGGAGATCAAGAGTCGCATGCTCCACTGACTGAGCCAGCCAGGCGTCCTTAAAATGAGTGAATATTTTTGTATCTAATTCTGGTAACAGTGCGGAGGATGGAAGGAAAATCAAACCATTTTAGAAACTCTTGGAAGATAAGAATCTAAAGGCAGTGAGAGTGACGATTACATTTCTTTGGGTTTTACTAAAATCTTTGTTTTTGTAGTTATAATCTCTGTTTTAAGTCTGCTGTTTTGTTCTCAAGAACAAAATATATGGGTGTTCAGAGTGAAGAGAATAGAATCCCCTCACAGAACAAAGTGGACCACCTCACCAGACAGTGCTTCTTGTCCCTTAGGGAATCTCAGATTCTGGGTGTGTTCCTTACATACATTCCCTAGAGGGTCTTTGTATCCAGGAGTTAAGGTGAGCTCTGTCTCCCACCGCTGATTAGTTTTACTTCTTTCCCCAGCCTGATGACCACGGTACGATCAATGACATCTCTGTGTTGCGAGTGACCCGCCGCGGGGCTCAGGCTGATCATTTCACACAGACAGCCCTGGCCCCAGGGACTGAGGTCCAGGTCCGGGTGGACTGGGAGCGAAGGTTTGACCACATGCAGCAGCATTCAGGTAGGCGGGGCGGCCTGGGGGATCTGCAGGAGGGGCTGTTGCCATGGATGGGAATGCCATAATGATTGGGACGTCTTTGGGTTCTCTAGGGGTTAACGTTTTGGAAAGGACAGACGTAATCAGAATCAGCTCCGTTTCAGACAGTAGGTGAAAAATGTTATAACAATGTGAACAATTAAAGTAAAAGTATTAGAATAACCTCTGGATTTGAGTTTTACCAACCTCCCGCTTTTTGGCTTTACCTGGATATCTCCTAGGCTCTTTAAATTCAACGTGTTCAAAACGGACTTAAATAGGCATTTCCTCCCCCAGACCAGGTGTTCGTGAACATCCACCTGGTTGCTCAAATCCTGAAAGTCAGTGCAGACACCTCTTTGGGGAGAGCCAACCACTGAGTCCTGGCAGTTTATCTTCTGAACATCTCTCCACTTCCTTCCACTGTTAGCACAGTCATCCTGGTCCCAGCTCTTTGTCTTTCCCCCAGACGCCTGATAGAGGTCATTTGTGAAACGGCATCATAAAGCTTTTTGCAGGGTTCTCGTGAGGATTTTCAGTAAAATATCTGATAAGAGTATTATTAGCCAGTACCCGGCAGGTCTTCCATGGGGAGAATCTCTGTGATGATATCAGGGAGCATGTGGCTGGCTGCACTTCTCACTCTACCCTGTCTCTTGCTCTCTCCGCTCAGGGCAGCATCTCATCACAGCAGTTGCTGACCATCTGTTCGGGTTGAAGACCACATCCTGGTGAGCAGGGGACCTAAGACTAACCATAGGTTGCAGGTCCCAGGCTGGCAGCTCCTCTCCCAGTCAGTAATGGGTCGGGGTAGGAGGATAAAAGAAAGGATAGGGTTCAAAATCTGCTGTGTTCTCCTGTTCCCCTTAGGGTGGGGGTGGTGGGTGACCTTGTGTGTCTCAGGGGAAGCATGAGGATGCGAGAAGGAAAGAACATGGAGTTTGGAGCCCAGAGAGCCAGGGGGTGAATTCTGGCTGCATGATCTTGATCACATTCCTTCCTACTCCTCACCCATAAAAAAGGAAATGACTGGGGCGCCTGGGTGGTGCAGTCGGTTAAGCGTCCGACTTCAGCCAGGTCACGATCTCGCGGTCCGTGAGTTCGAGCCCCGCGTCGGGCTCTGGGCTGATGGCTCAGAGCCTGGAGCCTGTTTCCGATTCTGTGTCTCCCTCTCTCTCT